TATTTTTCTTTTTTAGAATATCTTGCAGTATTCTCTGTAGAGTTGAATTGGTATTTGTGTATTCCCCTAGCTCCTCTTTATCCTGGAAGCACCTTGTTTTTCCATCAATTTCCAGGGATAGTTGTGCAGGATATATCAATCTTGGCTGGAGATTATTATCTTTCAAAGCTTGAATTATTTCCCCCCACACTCTTCGTGATTTGATGGTTTGTGCAGAGAAATCTGCTGTAATTCTGATGGGTGTTCCCTTGTAAGTGGTCTGTTTCTTTTCTCTGATGGCTTTTAGTATTCTGTTCTTGTATCGAATTTCTGGAATTTTTATTATTATATGCCTGGGTGTTGCTCTGTTTGGGTTGTAGGTGGCTGGAGTCCTGTATGCTTTATATAGAGTATCTTTACCTTTTGCTAAATTAGGAAAATTCTCCTGGATTATTTCTGTGAGTAGCTTTTGTATTTCATTTGTTTGTGTCCCTACTTCTTCTTTTATGTTCTTAATTCTTAAGTTGTTGACCTTCTTATCATCTTCTAGTCTTTGTATTATTGCTGTTTGTTTCTTTGTTATTTTTAAGAAGTTTTTCATTTCATGCACCCATAGTACAAATCTGCCCTCCAGTTCAGATAATCTGTCCTTAGTTTCTTTCAAGCTGTTATGCCAGTTTTTGATAGAGTTTTTATTTTCCTGGTAGTCTCTTTGAACCTGCTTCACATATTCTATGCTTTCTCTATTTTCTCCATCAAACAATTCTCCCCTTTTTTTCTGTTCTTCCATTCCACCATCTGTTTTTTTCTTGGGTGGGCTTAGCATTTCTCTAACTATTCTGCTTATTTCTAGCTTCAGGTCATTAATAACTTCATTCCTGAACTCATCTATGAGACTCTCTAGATGGCGCTTTATATCTTTTGGTGCGGTGACACTATTGCCTGTTTTTCAGGATTGGGGGCCGAAGGGCCTTTCTTGTTGCTCCCTCTTCCCATAGTCTTTGTTCCTTATATATGCAAGTGTATATAGGAGGCCCAGCTTCCCTATCTGTCAGCCACAGCCTGATTGAATTGTGCAGGCTAGGTGTTCCCGCCCACCGCAGCACACCAGGAAGTTGCAGACCAGGCAGCCTACACGGGGCCCGCCCCTCCAGGGCACCCTCAGGCTCTGGGATCTGGGTTGTGCTAGCCTACTGGGTCTCAGCCAGCAGTGTCACGTAGGCTAGGCACTTCTCACCAATCCTGCTTGAGAGGGGGATACGTGGCTGAAGTTGCTGCAGTGCCCTGCTCCCGCAAGTCTGCCCAGTCCCAGAATGTCCCCTGCTGGAGTCTCCCAAACCGTGGGAAGAGTGTCAGTTTCTCTCACTCACCTCACCACAAGTCAATGCACAGCTCCCCACCCATCCTGTTTTCAACTCCGTTCGCCAATTCCTGTTCTCAGAGCTTCCGCACATCTCTCTCCCTGCCGAGCTGATGTAGACCCAGCCTAGCGTGGCAGGAAACCCAAATCGCGGCTTCCAATGCCGCGGGCTCCAGCTTACACACTGAGGCTTTTCTGTTCCTGTTATAGCACCAGGATTGCATTCCAAGTTGGTTTCTCTCAGCCCAGTTCGTTCTTGGGTCACTGGGGCATATCTCCTCCTGCTTATGATTCCTTACTCAGCACCATTCCTGAATTCTAAGCTGAGTCTTTCAGAGAGCCTCCGTAGCTGGTGCTATCTGTCCACCATGTTCTCCCGGAAGACCACAATATATTTTTTAAAAATCAAAGTTAGAGGCGATATCTAAGTAGTATTTAAGTTCCATTGTGTGTCCATCTCCAACCCAGCTAGTGATTAGAAAACCAACGTTGGTTAGCAAGACGTTTATTTCAGAGCAGCCTCTTCTGTTTGCTGGGAAATGTGACCCTTCAAAGGAGGAAAGAAGTCAGCCCTGGCACCACTATTCCATTGGTCTTTGGCTCTGTTTTTATTCCAGTAACATGTTGATTTTACTATAGTTGCTTTGTAGTATAACTTGAAGTCAGAGATTGTGATGCCTCCTACCTTGTCTTTGCTGCTTAGAACTGTCTTTGCTCTTCTAGGTGTCTTTCTGTTCCAGATGAGTTTTAGGAGTGATTTCTCTAGATCAATGAGGTATATTTATAGTATTTTTATTAGGACTGCATTGAATCTGTGTAACAGTTTTGGGAGAATGGCCATTTTCACAATATTTATACTTCCTATCCATGAGCAAGGGATGTCCTTCCATTTTCTAAGATCCTCTTCAATTTCTTTTTTCAATGTCTTCTAATTTTCCCTATATAGATCTTTCACTTCTTCCATGAGATTAATTCTTAAATATTTCATTTTTCTGTTTCTAGTGTGAAGAGTGTGGCTTCTCTTATTTCTCCCTCTGTGATTTTGTTGTTAGTGTATATAACTGATATTGAATTTTTTTTAAATTTTATTTAAGAGGAAAAAGAGAAAAACACAAAACAAAACAAAGCCGTGTAAGGGTACACATAATACAGAACTACAAAGAAAAAAAAAAACATACCAGTAAGAAATCACCTGTTAATAGATTAGATATTATCATCTTGGAAATAGTTGCTCAAATCACAGTATCAAAGAATACAAAGTGGACATTCAAACAGAGAGACTGCAAACAGCTGTGTTCTGTGTATTGATTTTGTATCCATATACATTGCTGAATTTATTTATTATATCTAGTAATCTTTCAAAGCAGTTTGAGGGGTCATACTTTTTTTGAATAAGAGAATTTTTAATGTTGAATTTAAGAAAAAGTCTGAGGTAGGGTTTCACTGTGCAGTTCAGGCTAGCTTTGAACTCATCTTGCAGCCCAGGCTGGCCTCAAACTCACATCAATCCTTCTACCTCAGCCTTCCAAGTGCTCAGACTACAGACATGCACCACCATGAATTCTGAATAAATATATTTTAAATCTACAAGAAACTGAATTATAAGAAATAGAAGATTAAGACCTAATTCTTCATTGCATGTACCATGAAATATATTTGATAGCTGTATGGATATCCTCATTCTTTATCAATGTGATACAGAGTGATGGTAAAAGAAAACTTTCTTAATCCAACAATATTTTCCCACATAACTGGAAGGAAGGTTAACACAAGAGGAGTCTGAGAGAGCCTGGCATGGTGGTGCAATCCCAGCACTTGGGAGGCTAAGGCAAAAAGATTGCTACAGGTTTGAGATCAGTTTGGGCTGTATAGTGAATTCAAGACCAGCCTGAACTACATAACTACATAGTGTGACTCTGTCTCAACAAACCAAAGGAAAAAAGAGACAGAGAGAGACTGAGAAATAAGCTGATTTTCAAGTCTGCTGTCTTTGAATGTTGTTTTACAGCCTTGTACTTACCTGGAAAGATTTCTATTTATACCTGGACACCTGGTGGCTCAGATAGTGGCAGCAAAAAACCATTTATTCAATTAAGAACAAAAACCAAACCACCCAAGCTGAGTAGAAAATGGAAACACAGACAATTGAATGTTCCAAAACCTTCTCCAGCAACTCAGTGCTTTAGGTAAATCCAAGCTCCTCTCCCAGGCTTCCAGGCACTGCCCAACTGACCTCTTCACCCTGCCCCTTTCCTAAGCTACACACCAGAGCTTTTTAGTTTCTCCAGTGCATCATGAAGACACCACCTTCAGTCTCCTGGCCTTTGCAACTTTTTCTTAAATTCAACTTTAAGTATCTCCCTGGGATAATCTTCCCAGTGGCTGATAATACTCACATATGAGGCTTCAATCTAGAAGCCAGGTTCTTAGATAAGTCTTCTTTCAACAACCCACATTAATTAGTCAGTATTTCCTATTTTGCAGCCCAAAGCCACTTTTAGAGCACTTACCATGACAAAGAGTAGCAATTACGTGTTGTAAGAATTTACTTTGTTCCAGGCAATCCCAAGTATACTTAATTACATCATAACTTTATGACTGTTTGATGAATGTCTACCTCCCCTGTCATCTTCAAAATATTTTGAGATAGGCTCTTGCTTCAGATGCTTCACATTTCCTGGGTCTGACACTATGTGCTTTGCTTAATGCATTATCTTTTTCCTCCCAAAGAGCACTGACTTCAGAGTAAGACTAATACATGAGGTCTGCCTCCTACTACTCTTATTGTTGTATTTTTTTATTAGTACATACTTGCAGTATATGCAGTTTACATTCATCTTGGTTAGTGGATATGTGCATATAATACAGCTTGGCTCTTTTATTTTTTCATCCTCTCCCTTCCAACCTTTGCCCTCCTCCTTCCCCATTGTTTAGTCTTCTTGATCTTATTAATCACATCCCATTTTCATGACCTATCATGTTTATGCTCCTTCAGGTGATTAGGTTACTGTGCACAGCATATTTTTTTTCTACTTATTTCCCACTTCCCTGCCCCTCCGCTTCATCTGCCTCTTCTGGACCAGTTACCATTTTCAGGAAACCACTCCCTTGTCTTCTTCCACCTCTCCCTTAATGTGCTCTTTGTTTGTACCATGCCTTCCTCAAATGAGAGACACTACATGTTTTGTTTATTTTACTTTGCCTTCAAAATATCAGTTTGCTCCCATTCAGAACTTCTTTTCAGTACTTAGGATTGAGTTCAAGACTTTGTGCATGCTAGTCAAGCACTCTACCATTAAGCTACATCACCAGCCCCTTTTTATTTTGAGATAGGCTCTTGTTTCAGATGCTCAGGCTAACCTCGGACTGGCAATCCTCCAGTCTCGGCCTACTAACTACCTACGATTACAGGTGTAAACACCCATATGTTTAGAAACTGTGTACTTGCCAAAGGTCCTGCTTATCAAAATGTGCTTTTAGGACATAATCCCACTGCTCAGGCCTCCTCAAGGATTGCAGTGGAGATGGACTAGTAGAGTTAGGTTAAAGCAAGGGAAATTAAACAAGGTCCTCAGTAAACAACTACTTGACATCCTTTGTCTCAAGGGGAGAATGAGAACCTCTCTCTAGTGTCTGGGAGGGGGCTAATGGGTCAACTTACCCATGGAGAAGGGAATAAAAGCTTCATTCTTCTTCAGTGCCCCTTTAGCATCCAGAAAGTGGTCAGGGTTAAAGAATTCTGGCTTTTCAAAGTGATGTGGGTCATGGAGAGCAGTGGACAGGAGTGGGTATACTTCAGTGCCCTGAGGAAACGGTACAAGATCAAAAAGTATGCTATTCCCTGGCCTCCACATGCAAAAACATAAATAAATAGACAAAACAAAACAAAGCTGAAATAAGGCTTCCTTGCTATGACAGTAACAGGAAGTTGAGATGTGGGTTAAGAAACCAAAGAGGCTCACACAAAGATGTTGGATCCCAAGTTGTCTCACCTTAGGGATGAAGAACCCTCGGAAGTGGGTGTCTTTGGTGACCATGTGGGGCAAACCAATGGGGAGCAGGTCCGCAAATCTCTGAATCTCACAGATGACAGCCTCAGTGTATGGCATTTTGGATCGATCATCCAAGGCTGGCTGGCGGTGTGAGCCAATCACTTGTTCAATTTCCTTTTGGACTCTCTCTGCACAGAAAAGGGGACAAAGAACCCCATGGCCCAAAGGCATTTGAGCAATAACAGGTTTTTCTTTGGACCAATGAACCAGAAAATCCCTACAGAAAACAGTTATACCATTCACACCCTCAAAGCAGACAGCTAAGGGTGAGAGAATGAGGGAGAAATTAACAAGAATTCTCATCCTTTAAAATCTAGTAATATTACAAACTATCTCCCCACATCCACAGCTATACACACACCTCACAATTTTGTATAGAATTTTGTATTAACACCAAAACTCCTCCTCTAAAATGAATAAGATATGAACTAATATTTATGATGCTGGCAAGTGGGTCACTACTAGGTCATAAAGCATATAACAGAAGAATAAATCAATTACTTAATTCATGAACTGCTGGATGATAAAATGAGTCCATCAATCAATCAATGGCTAAATCATTACATGAAAAGACTGAAGAATGAATGAGGTAAATAAAACATTGAGTGAATGCATGTATCTGATTTATCAGTCATGTACGGATCAATTAATCTATTAGAAATGGTTCATAGACAAATGTCAATGAACTCAATCAATAATCATATGAATGCTAGATTTATGGAGGCATGTATGAATGCATAAAGTAATAAAGGAATGAGTAAATAAAGAAATGGAAGGCTTGAATGAAAAGTAAATGTGGTATGAATAAATGAGATTAACTGAATCAATGGAGGAATGATAGATAATTGAAGCCTAAATTGAAAGACTGAAGGTAAAGGAAGGAAATTTAGTTGAAAGAGAGCTAGGTGGGTCGATGCATGAATAATGTACTTGTTCAGTGACTCAGTGACAACTATCAGTGTTTGAGGGATCAACAAGTCAATTCATCAGAACAAATGAATAAAACTATACCTCCTTTGATGAATCATAGATAAAAGAATCAGTAAATATGCAGGTGAATTAATAAACAGATGGATGGATAGACAGATGGTTCACTGTTTAAGTGTGATGAGAGAAAACTGTGGAAAAACAGGTTAATAGAGGCTTGTTCACTGACCTGTACATCCCCAGGACTGGCTTAGTGGGGAGCTAGTCCAAAGCCTACAGAGTTCCTGGCACAAGTGCCCAGGGTTACCTCTCATCCATGAGATGCCCTCACCCCACCTCTGCAGCCCAGAGGACATCACAGGGCCTTCCCAACTGGCTATCAGTCACCCACCTGTGACATGGGGGTATTTGAGCAAAAACAGGAAGCCATAGCGGAGAGTTGTGCTGGTGGTCTCCGTGCCAGCAAAGAAGAGGGAAAGTGAGGTCAGGATGAGGTTCTTGTGGTGGAACTCGGTGTGTGAGTTAGACTTTTCCTAGGTCCAGAGTAAGGAGATACAATTGGTAAGGGAAGACCAAAGCCTTGCTGCAGGAAGTATCATCTGTCCCTCTGGGCAACCTCCCTCTGTTTCTGGGACTCAGGTGATCTGGCCTGCGTTGCATTTCTCCATCCTTGGCATCCAGTGCTGCTCTTTCTCTTTCTCTTTCTCTTTCTCTTTCCCTTTGCCTCCCCCCCCCCACCTCATTTCTCTTTATTCTGTCTGGCTGTTCTAATCTCTCTTCTTCTCTTTGGCTTGTTTCTCACTTTTGGTCTCTCCATTCTTTCTCTGTCTCTGTGAATCTTTTCTCTTGATGCGTTTTTTGCCCCTTGCTCTGATTTTCTTCCTGGGCTGGCCTTTGCCTCTTCTCTCATTCCCTCCCATTTCGGTTTCTCCTTCCTTTCTTCTCCTGCCGTCCACTTCATCTTCTTTTCTCTTTTACTCCATCTTACCTTTTCCTATTCACTCCTCCCTATCCTGTTTTTCCTTCTGCTCTTCTCCCCTTCTATCTCTTCCCTTCAGATCATCTCTCCATCCTCCCCAGCTATTCCTTCTCTTCCCCCAGCTCTCACTTTGTCCATGCGGAGCAGGAAGGTATCAATGAAGTCTCTAGGGTTGCTGGGGTCCAGAGTTTCACGGTGTTTCTCTACCCTGTGGCCAATGAACCTGTTGACTTCCTGCAGGTTTTTGTAGACTTCCCTGTGTGGGCCAGGAAAGTACTTCAGGATGGTGGAGAAAAGCTCAAATATCTGCAAAAAAGAAGGGGCAGTGACGTCCACATGGGGCCATGTTAAGAGATCACAGAAGTTTGAAGCTATCCTTGGCCTCAGAACTCCATGGACAATCTCTATCCCTCCATCTCTGTATCCTCTGAGTCTACCTTTCTCCTTCTCCTTAACACACACCCGCACACACGCACATACACACAGACACACTAACTCACACATACATTTTTGTGTCCCAGAATTTGTCTGTAGCCTTTATTTTCTTTTCCTGTCTTCTCTCTTTCCTCCCTTCTCTTTCCCAAGCCTTCATTTTATTTGTCTCTCCCACTTTATTTCCACATCCCCTTCACTATTCTTTCTCCTTTTCAGCCTCTTGGTCCCTGTTCACTGTTTGTCCCTCCCTTCAGGTCTCAGTGTTCCTCTCCTTGAGTGCTGTCTTCACTCTTCTCCTGTCCCTAGGTGCATTTCTGGTCCCCCCAAAGCAGGCACTCACTCCCCCTTGCCCTGACTGCTCCCCTCACCCCCCCTTGCCCCGTGCTCCAGCTCCCTCCCCTGACCTGACTGGATAAGGAGCTGACAAGTGCAAAGGACTGATAGAACAGGTCCAGCAGCCTCAGGAACTGCTGATCTTTGTAGTCAAAGCGTTCTCCAAACACAATAGAGCAGATGATGTTGGCAGTAGCAGACTGGAAGAAGAACAAGGGGTCCAGAAGATCTCCTGGGAAAAAGGACACAGAACCAATAGCCTGGGGAACATTTGGCTGCTGTCCTGTCTCTGTGTCACTGTAATGGCTCAGCAATAAAAGATAATTATAACAATAAGCTCTTACACTCATCTACATGTACTGTGTGCCACTCTGTATTCTAAAAGCTTCACGTGTTATTTTATTTTCCTCCAAAACACTGTGAGGAAGATGTACTTCTATTATTATTCCCACATTTGATAGAAGGATGAGTGACTAATAGTTAAATGATTTGACTGAGGTGACACAGCTACTCATTACTACAGGCAGCTTAGAGCCAGAGCCAGTACAGGTGTTGTTGGTCCCTACCCTGCATGTCACCCTGATCCCGGCTCCCTCTCTGTAAGCTAAAAAATGTTGAGCCCCAGGACAGATGTGGTGCAGCAGGGCCCATTGATGGCGTGTGCAAGTTTAAAACCCTGATCTCTTCTTCCTTCTTCACTTCATTCCTGTCACTCCGCCCTTCACCTCTTCTGCCTCCTCCAGGATTTTGCTGAGAAGGAGGGAGTCTTTGGCACAAAGATATCAGGTAGCTGTGATCTTCTCTATGTCTCTGTCTATCTCTTTCTCCCTGTCTCTGTCTGTCTCTGTCTCTATCTTTTCTCTCCCTCTTTCTTTCTCTCGCTCTTTGTATGTCTCACTTATGTCTCCTCTCTTGCCTTTATACACCTTTCCCTGAGACTCGTCCATCTGTCTCTAATTTTCTGTCTCACCTCATCTCTGCCTTTATTTTTCTTCCTCTTTGAGTCTTTCCCACTCTCTTGTCTTTTTCTCTTTCTTTGCCCCATTCATGTGTGTCTCTTCCCCTTTCCCAGTCTCTGTCTCCTTCTGTCTTTCTACTCAGTCCCTCTGTTCCTATTGCTTTTCCCCAGGCTTAGGTATCTCCACACATGATAAATAACTGGAATGAATGAAAAAATGCTAACCATGGAGGTGTAAACAAAGAGCCCTGTCACCTCTGCAGCCCTCTTACAGAGGATTCCAAAGGAACTGAAAATGCCTTCCTGAGAGCAGAGCACCGCCCCCCGCCCTGTCACTTTGCTCACTGCCTGCTCATCTGCATTTCATTCAAGGGAGAAGAAACACAATTCTCTAGTTTCACACCTCCTCTTTTTCCCTTTGCTTCTTTTTTACACAAGCAAGACTTGTGTAAAAGCTTTTGATGCATACAGTTAACCCATGAATTGATTTCCCTGAACACAAATGAATAGCATACAATCACTCAGCCTCTTTCTCCAAATTATTCGTGAACACCATGAGCCTCACAGATGCTTCTTTGGTTGTGCTGCTCTGCTGCTTATCTCTCTGTTCATTTCTATTCTGTCTCTTTCTGTCCCAAACCACGTATCTGCCTCTATTTGTATTCTTCTTGTGCATATGTGCCTTGCTGTGTTTCCATTGCTGTGCAACCTGCCTCTCTCTCTGTACCCAGTCTTCCTTCCCAACCCTTCCGAACCCTCAAGACTCACCCTTAGATTTCTTTATCTCCTCCACCAGACACTGAGCCTCCTCCTGAATCCGCTCCTCCACAGTCCGCTTTCCCATCCCAAAGTCCCTCATGGTGGCCAAAGAGAATCTCCGAAGGGCCTTCCAGCGGTCCCCATTGGCAAAGACCACACCTAGTGGTTGTAGGAGACACATGAGGTGCAGAGGAAGGGTCCCTCCCCACTTTTCTCCTCTTTTCTCATGTTCAGTTTCGCCAAGTCTCCTCCTCCATCCCGCCCCACCACAGTGCCTTTGAGGTGCTCACCATATCCCTGAAATGTAGGCTCTGCGACAGCAATCATCCCCCGGCCAGAAAAAGAATCAGCTTGGTCCACCAAGGCTTCCCGTATGGTCTCTGCCCCACACAGCATGACCACTGGCCTTGGCCCCAGGTACACGGTGAACACATCTCCGTATTTCTCTCGGAACTGCCAAACATACCCACAGCAGGGTTGCTATTAGTCAGTATACACACCACTTTTTAAACTATTAAAATGTTTAAATATATATTGATAATTAAATGCCACCCCCAGTATCCTTAATTCCTCCCTGGCGGCCTTGCTCCCTTCCTAGGACACAGAAACTAAAGGGTTAAGCCATCTGCCAACTAGGCTTCTCTGAGTGATTGAGGCTCTAAGAAGGTTGAATATTGCTAATCACATCTTTACTCATACCCTGATCTCCCTGGTATGTCAACCTAAAGAATTCTTGTGCCATAACTTCAATTTGCATTGTGACCCCCAGTAATTTCTGGGGAGAACAACTCTGACTCACCTTCTTAGTTCAAGGGAAGAAACAATAACAACCCTCTAGCCTGATTATGAAATTTCAAAAATTCTATCAGTTCAGCCTCTTGAGAAACTGGTAGACAGGACAGTCACCCCTTGGTATCTATGGGAAGTAGATATCAGGGGCCCCTTGGATATCAAAATCCTTGCTAATATTTGCAGAAAACGTGGGTTCATCCTTCTGTATACATCAAATCTTTTCCAGATTGCTTATGTCTCAAACAATAGGAACACTATATAAAAAGTTATTTACTGTATTATTTAGGGATTAACAGCAAGAAAAAGTCAGTGTATGTTCAATACTAGCACAATTTTTTTCAATCCAAAGCTGAGCTCATCTGGGGATGGAGAAGATCAGCTGTATTTATCAAAGCACAACGCAGGGATACTCAACAACTTCACCATCAAATACTTGCTCAACAAAAATGTGTACTTGTTCACCAAAACAAAAACAAAAAAACCCAAACTCAACCAGAATATTTATACAAGTCTTCTTAGTAAAGTGATCATTAGTGCATCAACTAGTGAGAGATTCACATGATGTAATATTATCAACAACAAAAAAGAGCCCACTAGATCTATAACCAAAACTCTAAATGAAATTCACAAATAAGATGTTGAGTGGAAGCAACAAGACACAAAAGCAGGGTTACATCATATTTTCTTGGGCCAGGGAATTAACTCAGTGCCATATGATGTAGAAGAAGAAGGAAAAGGAGGAGGAGGAGGAGGTAAAGGAGAAGGAGAAACAGAAGTTGTTTACATTTCCTTCTTTTATATAAAGTTCAAATGCAGCTAAAACTTACCTGTGGGAAGAATGCCAAGAGACAGAGTAGGAGGGGGGGAGAGGAGAAGGTGATATAGAAAGAATCAAGAATTAATGTACATGTACCAACCCCTAACATGAATGTAGTCATTGTGTACTGTAAACATATAAATAAAAATTTTTAAAACCAACCTATGATTTCAGAATAGTATGGCCATTGTCACTTTTTCTGCATGTCAATGAAAAGAGCATGTGCCTGAGCTGTCCATTTTGAGAAGGTCATGTCCAACTTAAAAAAATCTTGGCTCAAAAATCATAAAAATGGCTAACTCTACTATAAAAATATCTTAATTACTCTCTGCAAAGCCTTCTCACTAGTTTCGCTGCTTCTGCTCCTGTACCCTTTAAAATGGTTTCACCAGTCTCTGAGCCAGGGAAATCCTGTTAAAGTGTAAGTTACTCAACATTGCTACCCTCTCCAAGCCCCTCAAAGACCCACATCACTGAGAATAAGACCAAAGTCTATCCTATGATCCCTACAGCCTGACATGAACTGGCTCTGTCACTTGGCTGGTTTCTCCCCCTTCTGCCACTTATCCCACTCTGATCTGTCCCCATGCAACTCCCCGGGCTTCTTCCTGTCCTGATATTCCAACAACACCTGTTCTTTCTGACCACCTGCATCTTTCAGGATCTCTGCTCAGGAGCACTGCAAAGACAAAGTATTTCACTGATTCCACAGTCTGACATGGCTCTCACTACTTTCTAAAACACCAAGCTGCTTTATTTCGATCACAGCTTTTGTCTACCTAACACCGTTTCTGTTTATTTCTTGTTTATCTGTCACTCCCAGTGGAATGCCTGTGAGAATAATCACCATACATGCCTTGTCCAAGATGCACTTCCCAGCACATAGCAAATGTCCATAAATTATTAATGAATTAATGAACAAATGACTGAGTGGACTGAAATAGCACTTTCCATGCATTGTCTCATCTAATTCTTAAGCAACTTTAACAGTCACAAATTCTCATTGTCGCCATCCTACAGAGGAGAAAACTACAAACCTCTAACTCCAAAAGGATTTGGGAGCTTATTGGGGACTAGAAAAAGAACAGTGTCACCCTTTCCAGAGCTCGGTATTCAAAATCACAGATTTTGAATATCACAGATTTTGAAAATCACAGATTTAGAAATTCCTTGGAAATCCACAGAAGAGCTTTACAGGGCCTGCATAGTAAAGAAATTTATGCAAAAATATAGGTGAATATTTGGAGGGGAGGTAGCCCACACTTTTAATCACACTCTCCGAAACTGTACTGCCAGAGTGTTAAGTGGCATTAAGTCAAGGATTGTGGAGACAAAAGAGACCTACAGACCTATAGCTGCTAGGCCTCTGTTCCTTTCCCACATGCATGTGCCTGAGAGTTAGTGCCCTCTCATGCTGAGCCTCACTATCTATCTTAGTCCACCTCATGCTTCTATAGCAAAAAGCCTGAGAGTGGGTAATTTATAAAGAACATGGTTTTTGAGGTTTTTTTCCTTATACACTTCTTGGAGCTTCAGGGTCCAAGGTCATAGAGTCCAGTATCTGGCTGGGACCTTCTATGCTGTGCTGTCCTGTGGCAAAAGATGAAAGGACAAGAAAGCATGCACACAACAAAGGGGACCACATTCACTTTTACAGCAAAACCGTTTGAGTGATGACCACATTAATCAGCTCTCCTGACCTAATCACCTTTTAAGCATCCCACTTCTGAACACTATTGCATCAGGATTAAGTTTCCAACAAAACTACTTTGAGAGACATACAAATTTCCACCTCTATCCCCCCAAATTCCTGTTCCTCTCACAAGCAAAATACATTCATCCCATCCTGGAACCACAAAAATTCTTAACCTGTTCTAGCATCAACTCAAAAGTCAGGGGTCTCATCAATGAAACCAAGGCATGATTTCTCCAGAGGCAAACGCTCCTCCAGCTGTGAACTTAACACAGTAGTGAGACAGGCATAGGACAGACATTTCCATTTCAAAAGGGAGACATGGAAAAGAAGAAAGGAGTGACTGGTCCCAAGTAAGTCCAAAACCCAGCAAGCAAAAATATATTCTACCTTTGTAAGATATACAATCAGCGAGAAAAAAACTATGTACTGGTGGCTTTCATGTATGCAATGAAACTCTATTAAGGGGAAGGGCACTGGGTCTACAGTCCCTTGGTCAGGCAGCCTCTCCCAGGTCCTAACCCAGTCATTATCAGGGCCTCCTCTCACCTGCTCTTTTGCTCACTCACATGTGCTTATTTACTGAGCCCTTGCTGGGATCCAGGCACTATGCTCAGCACTGTGCTCAGGCTAATGTGACACTGCCGTGGCCATCACCAACAGAGGCAAGTGATGCACAAGAGCTTATGGTGGCAGTGGAGCATGATGTCACATACACCTGCAAGCCCAGCACTCAGGAGGCTGAGGCAGCATAATCACCAGGAGTTTGAGGCCAATTTGGGCTATGGAGCAAGACCCTATTTCAAAAATAAATAAATAAATAAATAAATAAATAAATAAGCTTATGGTGTGAACCTGACCATGTCTGAGGACCGAGACAGACTTCTCAGGGGAAATGACACTTGGCCTGGACATTTAAGAAACACCAAGAATTATGCAGGTTGGATGAACACAAGCCAAGGGACAACACATAAATGATCTCACTTTACTCCCAAGCTTTTGCTACAAGAAAAACTGAAGTATTTACTGCAAGGAAGAATGAGAAATGCTGGGTATTGTGGCACATCCTTAATCCAGCACTTAGGAGGCTGAGGCAGGAGAATCACTGTGAATCTGAGGTCAACCTGGGCTACCTCATGAGTTCAAGGCCAGCCTACACACAAACACAAATTCTCTGAATAGATATGAAGGAATAGATGAAACAGGAGAGTCCAACAGAAAACCAAAGGAAAAGGAAGAAAAAACATCAAAAAGTAAAGTGGGTTGTTTGTTTGTATTTTTGAGACAGAATCACTCTACATGATTTATGCTGGCTTTAAACTCACTACGTAGGCCAGGCTGATTTCAAATTTGCAGCAATCCACTTAATAGCCTCCCAAAAGCTGGGATTATAGCCATACTTCACTGTACCCAGCTCAAAAAATAAAATTTCAAACTAATAAATCTCCAGGTCCTCATCCAAAAAATGACTACCTAAGGCAACACTTTACCAACAAACATTTTATGTCCAAAGTTCAGTTTTCTAATGATATTGATATAAACTCAAAAAGAACAGCATTTTAATACAGAAATTTGTTGACTAGGAATTTCATTTTTCCAACGAACTCATTTCCATCTTTAATTCACAACAGTCAAAAACTGGTCCTTCCAAAATTAGTTATATTTTTCCAACATGAAAAGTACCCAGAACCATCTTTTTTATTATATATATATATATATATATATATATATATATATATAAAGTTTGGGCCAAACTCACTATTTTGTGTTTGTCAAGCAGGCATCTGTGCTGCTGAGCAAACCCCTGGCCACTTAGGACCATCTTTATACCTTAAAAAGTCTCATAGCATTGAAGCAACATATCAGGCTTCCCTAGAAATTTTAAAACATTATTACAAAACTGTAGAGATTTGACTGTACAATCCAAATGTGAAGAATTGTTAGACACTGTAGGGGATCATTGTTCTTCTGCCCTGGCCCAATTGAATTTCTTCCTATCGATTGACTTGAATAAGAAGTGTCTAACAGATTAGTGAAGCACAGTTCTGGGTGTGTCTATGGATGACTGACATATAGGATAAACAAGGAAAAACACCCACCCCAGGTATGCATCAATCAATAGGTTTGCAGCCTACACAAAATAAAAAGGGAAAGAAAGAAGTGTTCCTGTTTCAGAAGAGCCCCATTTTCAATGTTGCATTTGGAAGTGTCTCCAGTTTCTTCAGTCTTCTAATGTAGTCCTCTAAGGGTGACTCTACAGGGAGCTTCTCGACCTTCAACTTTGGACTGGTACTGCATCCTTAATGCTAGTAACATTCACATTCGAAGAAAAATTCACACAGTCACATTCCAGACCCAACAGCTGTCTGGAAAAGCAGCATTAGGCTTCCTGAGCCACAAATAAAAGCCTTTAGAGAGTATTCTGGCACACATATCTGCAAGCACCAGACTGCTGAGCCAAGCAGTTTGGAACTGAGCTGGACCTCACCAAGCCAAAGTGGCCAACTCTATTTGATTAAACTCCAGGCTCCACACATGATGTGCCTAAGGGATCCGTGCTGCTTTCTTCAGAAGATCACCAAAGCTTAGCACTCAGTCATCTGTCTGGACATGCATGGTTTGGATCTGATTTGAGTGTGTTCCCCATACATTTATGTGTTGAGAGCTTGGTCCCCGAGGTGGCCATGTTGAGAGGTAAGGGAGCTTTTGAAGAGTGGAGCCTAGTGGAGGGTAATTAGATCATGTAGGCACCACCCTTAGAACAGATTAATGCTGGTCTTTCAAAATGAGCTAGTTCTTAAGAAAACAGGTTGTTATAAAACAAAGCCTCCCCCATGTTTGGGGCCTTTCTGCATGTTGCAGATTCCATTTCTCCTCTTATACCATAGGGAGCCATCAACAAAGGCTGAATAGATGGTACTGCCTGATCTTGAACTGTCAGCCTCTAAAATTGTGAGCTAAGTAAAACCCTTTACTTTATAAAGTCTCAGCCTCGGGAATTTTCTCAGAGCAACAGAAAACAGAGTAAGGTGCCATGAAGTTCTATCCTTCTCAGGTGGATCACTTTATGGCTTGCCACCCCCCCTTCACTTCAGCCAGCCCCTCATATTGGTACCACAGTTCAGTTCCTACCTCCTCTCCAGCATACATGCCATGCTTTTCCATTCTCCTGGGTCTACTTCCTCGTCTTCACCCTGAACACCCATCATGAATGGGCTCATCTCCCCTCTTATTCTCATTCTTCCAGTCTTTATGAGTCTGTCCAAATCCTACCTCTGACATAAACCCTTCTGGGCCTTCAAATGATCTTAAAACTCCTATTTCTTTTCTTTTGTTCCTTACCATCCAGAACTCAGCCCCCAGCATCATTTCTGGTACCCACAACTAAAAGTAAAAGATGATATTATCAATAAATAGATCATTGATCACAAAAAAAGACTATTGCTAGCAAAGGGCTAAGAAGTCCAGGATTCCCAGAGTGTGATCTCCATAGCAAGAAGAGGACAGAGGAGCTGTATGTTTCTGTTGGTTCCCCAGCTCTTCTATCACCATCAATGTTGATTAATTATTAATGGTTATCAGTAGATGATTAGTCTGACCTGGTAGCAGAATCCTGTAATCCTAGCCAATCACAAGGCTAAGACAAATGAATTTCAGGACAGTCTAGCAATTTAGCAACATCCTGTCTTGAAATTAAAGAGGGTGGCGATGTGGCACAGGGCAGAGGTTCAGGGTTCCATCACCACTGTGATAAATAAATACATAATAAAACTAGATAATGAAACCTGAATTCGTGGCTGAAAAGCAGTGCTTACAGAGTCTAGTAATCGCTGGTTTCTATATGTGTTTGAAAAGTCCTTATCTTTTTTGCCATTATTTACCATTTTTGTGACATGAATTTTCTCGACTATAACAACAATTTTCATGCCAAACATTTGCCATGAAAAGAGGAGGTTGACATAAGTATGATTCTATTCTATCAATGAAGAAATCAAGATTTTTTTTCCCTCTTTTATTTTCCCACTCAGGGTCTCATTAGGTTGCCCAGACTGTCCTAGAACTCATGGTGATCCTCCTGCCTCAGGCTTTCCAGTGCTGGGAATACTGATGAGTGCCACCACACCTGGCCTTTTTACTGTATTTGTGACACATAATAAATATATTCATCATGGAGATTTGTGCGTTTACAAGTCATGTCTCGATCCTGTTTACTTCCCCTCCCTTGTCCCTTCCTAATAAGCACTCTTTACTGCCTCTGTTTTCCCCCCCTTCCACCTGATCGTCCTCAAACAGACTCAGGACAATATTTGTTCTCTGTGTTGACAGAGGTGAAACCTTTCTGACTGGTGCCACTGTCCTTTTACTCTTGCTTCTAGGCAGATATGCAGTATGCAGCAGAGAACAGTGAAATTCCACACCTCTAGCTCACACTCACACAATTCTATAGGCCCTCTCCAAGAACAGTGTCTCACACAATTCTGCCAGTGGTAAGAGACCTCTGACAACCTGACCAGCATCCACCAGGAGTCAAGATCGCACTTTATACACTGATCTTCCCCATCAGCCTCTGACCTTATAGGAGACTGTGCTCTTCCAGCCCGCCCTGGGTTCCAAACATCTGTGTCTCACCTGCAGGAAGGATTTGAACAGGCCTTTTCTGTTCATCTGCAGAATGTTCCCCAGGAAGGGCAGAGGATGTGGGCCTGGTGGGAGGTTGCCATGGGCCTTTGGGTGGCCCTTGAAAAGCAGAAGTAAGAGGCCCAGTAGGAGAGCAAGGAACAAGAGGAGACTGAGCTCCATGGTCCTGGTCTGACTGCCCTCTACCCTCTGCAGCCTTGAGCTGAACCTTTTATTCTCATCCTGCATCCTCAATTGTGCAACTTTGACCATTCTCCGCCTCCTCTATCATCCTAATCCAGAAATGTGATCTTAGAAGAGAGTTACCAGGCACCCAGACTTCCTGTTTGGGCAGCCAGATAACCTGGTCATTCCCTAGCCTTTTAACCTTCCATAGATATTGGCAGGGATACTACAAAACAGATGCAAAAGGGTACAAGAGTGTATCTGTATGCTGGGTACAAGCATTGTCAATTTTCTGAGTATGCATTTGGCTCTTTAGTTTATTCTGTCCCAGTTCGCTTGCAGCTGTGTATACCAACATGGTTTTCGATCTACGAAGGGTTATTTTGTACGTCGATGTGAATTGCGATTATGTGTTTCTGTGTATCAGTCCAGGTGTGCTTCTGTGTACATTCTTCATGTGGGGAGCATCTATGTATTCATTGTGTATTCACATGTGAAGACATGGTTGCATTTGTGTTGGGAGGTGGTAGGGACTTCTGCTCCTGTTGGTGAGTCTGCATGTGTCGGCTGTGCTTGTGCTGGTGTATGAGTGCGTCTCCTACTCAGGCTTTGTAAGGCCTGAAGAGGTCCCCGGTTCCCCCCCCACACACACTGCACTCTGTGAAGGACATAGGTGGGAGTGATGAGTGATTGGGAAATGGAAGAGGGTAAGACACTCTTTAGTGGGGGGACAGACAAAGGCAGACTGAGACAGAGACAGAGAGACAGAGACAAAGAAACCCAGCTGATGGGGCTGGGGATTTAGCTCAGCGGCATAAGCACCTGCCTTGCAAGCAGGCAGTCGTGAGTTCGATCCCTGGTACCGGTAAAAACGAAAAAGACAAAAAAAAAAAAAAGAAACCCAGCTGGGAGAGCACCTGGGTTATCTCAGTCTCTGATCATTCCTATTAGTACTGGCTGGTTTCCACTGCCAGAATTCATTCTCTCTGTCTCTCTGTCTCTGTCTCTGTCTCTGTCTCTCTGTCTCTCTCTGTCTCTCTCTCTCTCTCTCTCTCTCTCTCTCTCTCTCTCTCTCTCTCTCTGCCTCTGTTTCTCTTTTAGATCCTGAGATCCGTTGTGCCTTAGTCTGCTGTTAGCAGTAACAGAATACCAGAGACTGGCTAATTGGTAATGAACCAAAATTCATCTGGGTGTGTGGTTTTGGAGATGGAGAAATTCAAGTGTGTATGATGACATTTGGGTAGGGCTGCATCAGAACAAGGCTGAAAGGCACAGAAAATGCCTGAGGCAGGGTGCGCGGAGAAGGAAGCTTGGCATTCTCTCCCTCTGTCCCTCTCACAAGGACAATCCATCTATGAGAGCAGAGCCCTCATTATCAAATCAGGTTTTCAAAAAAAGTTTCAACTTTCTTGTGAATGGAAAAAGGAAAACCACTATGAATATTGGCCTGGAGGTTCTGTAAAGAACTAAAACTATAAATTCTGTTAGACGCAGCTATTCCCCTTCTAGGTCCCTTTCCTAAAGAGGTAAATACTTCACATTACAGTGATACATGCATATCCATGTTTATAGTAGCACATTTCGTAATAGGCAAATCTTGGAAACAAGCATCAATAGAGGAATGAATAAAGAAAATGTGACATTTATACACCATAAGGTACTGCTTTGCCATAAAGACAAATTTGAGTTATCTGGAGGAAAATAGATGCACTTTGAAACCATAAACCATAAAGTGAAGTAAATAAAATGCACAAGCTTAAATATCACATTGTTTGTCTTGTGTGAGAAGCTCAAAATGCAAACAAAAAAAGCAAAGTAAAGATAGATGATAAGAAATAAGGCCATAATTCTCTTACAGAAGTAAAAGCAACAACAAGAAAGAGGCAGGGGAAGAGGAGAAGATGAAACAATTAGGATGTGTTATGTTCATGCATCAACTTCCCATAATGAATGCAATCCTTGCATGCTGTAAACATGTACTAGTAAAAAGTAAAAGTTGAAAAAAACCTCGCTTCTTCATAAATTTATGGTATCAATTCCATTTCAACATGAATTTTAGAGGGAACATTCCAGATACAACATTTTCCCCATAACTCCCCAAAACTCATGTCCTTCTCACATGTGTAATACATTCCTTCTATCCCAAAGCCCAAAAGATTTACTTTGAGGTGCTGGAGAATGAACTCAAAGCCTCACGCATGCTAGACAAGGGCTCTATCGCTGAACTACATCCTTGAGCTACTTTTTTACATGGAAACAATGTCCAGAAAGGTCTTAAACTTTATATCTTCCTATAACAGCCTCCTGAACTGCTGAAAGTGCAGGTGTGTACTGCCATCACGTAGAACAAACCCCAAACTCAAAACTCCAAAGCGATTCATGCATCAACTCAAACGTCTGGTCTTACCATAATCAGATGTATACTAGACTCAAGAGCTGATTCATGCTGAGGCAAATTCCCTCCCTCTCTAAGCCCATGAAATCGTAGCAAGCTATCTACTACCAAAACATAGTAGTATGCTATTTATACACTTCCTGATATTTCAGGACTTTATGGTCAACTTCACTCCAAAAGTATTAACTGAAAAAATTCATAAATGTCAAACTTGGCATGGTAGTAAATGCCGGTAATGCCTGCAGTCTAGGAGACTGAAGCAGGAGGATTACCATGTTAAGCTCAGCCTCAGCAATTTAGCAAGACCCGGTCTGAAAATGAACAAAATTCAAATGGCTGAAGATGTAAATTAATGCAAAGGCCTATTCTAATACAAAGAAAAAATATTAAATTTTAAGTTGTTCACCATTCTGAATAGTGTGCTACAATCTCCCATCATCCCACCCAGGACATGAATCAGCGCTTTACCTATAAAGTGTGTGTCATCTACCACTTAGCAGCCACGTTGGTTTTTAGACTGATTGTTGTATTGTGATGGTTCTTGTGTTCAATCAACACTTTTGCTATCCCATAATAGTCCCAAAGCAAGTATACAGTTGAAAATTCATATATGCTAAGGAGAAAACATAAAAGCAACATTCTCAACTTAAGAAAAGAGGGGAAGCCAAGTGTGGTTTTACATCCCTGTAATCCCAGCACTAACGGAGATTGAGGTAGGAGTATCACAAATTTTAGTTCTGTCAGAGCAAGTAAGTGAAACTCTGTCTCAAATTTTTAAAAAGAGCTAGGGATGTCGCTCAGTGATAGAGTTTCCCTGGGTTTAATCTCCAGTAACAATAAAGAAGGAAGAAGGGGAGGAAGAAGAGGGAGTGGACAAGAAAGAAAGGGCAAAGAGGAGGAAGAAGGAGGGAGAGGAAAGGGAAAAAATCATATGGTGAGATTGCTAAGATATATGGTAAAAATGAGTCTTCTATCTGTGAAATAGTAAATAAGGAAAAAGAAATCTATGCAAATTTTGCTACTGTACATCAAAATGCAAAACTTCATCTCCATTTCGTATAATAAGTGCTTAATGCATATGAAAGAGGTATTAAATTTGTAGGTTGGAGTACCATGTTGCACCAGAAAGCGTAGTGGCAACAGAATTCTACAATGAGTCCCTTGAAGCTAGTGATACCAAACCATTAGCTGCAGGTAAGTGATGTTTACAGAGTCAGGAGGCAGTTTAGAAAAGTCTAAAAATTACTAGCAACACAAGTTGTCAATATGCTTGATAATGAAATAGAACATATTAAGATGTCAGATAGATAAGAGCATGTTACAGAGGATCCCTAAGACATACAACTCAGATGCCAAAATAACACAGCATGGGGAGTCCTGGACATCGGGAGATGGATCCTCTCGACTCAGGAAGATACTAAAGCAAAAAGGACCCGTCAAACATGCAGTCTCAGGGCTACTCTTGAGGAAAATAAGATTCTGTGCTCTTGCACGCCCGAGTTCCTGCTGCTTCAACTCACTGGAACCGCAGTCACACTGAAGAGCAGTCACACTGAAGTTGCAGGTTGGCAAGCCCAACAGAGAACGGAGCCAGCAAGGGACCTGCATCTCCTGCAGTGAGTGGGAGGAATAAAATAATTCCATGGGAAAGGGGCACCAACAAGGTGAGATTTTGGAATTGGGCATGACTGGCAAGAACAAGGAACAGCAGTGACTTCAGTCAGTTGTTCCCTTCCCAGATGAGACTGGGGGGTATGCTTGGCCTGGGTTATGCCCCTGGCTGAGACCCAATAAGTCCCAAGCCAATTCCCTATGTGCAGCACCACTAACACAATGATGGCCTCAGTAGGTTGACTGACTGGAGGCGAGGAGCCAGCATATGCTGGCCCAGTTTGCACTTCAAAAAAACACTGGAGTGGGCAGGATCACCTAGCCAGTGTGCTTCAGAAGAACCATAACCAACAAGGAAAACAACTGGGACTTCCTCTATATGCCTGTATGGAAGAAACAAAAAATATGAGAGAAAGAAGCAACAAGAAAAAGTACCCAGCCGCTAACCCTGAGAATATTGATTCAGGAGAGGTAAATACAAAAGAGATTGAGGACAGCAAACATGCAATATCAGACATAGCATCAACGGACATAAAGAGATATCTTCAGCAACTCATAGACAAGTTCAAAAGGGAAATATTTAACCAACTAAAGCAAGATATAAGTACATCAATAAAAGAAATGCTAAGCACCTCTCAAAAAGACACAGAGAGAACAATGGAGGAGCACAAAATAGGACAGAAATGTTTGATGAAGAATATAAAGAAAACATAGATTGCACGAAGCAGGTTCAAAGAGATTAATAAATAAAAAAACTCCATTGAAAACTGGCAAAACTGCTTGAAAGAAACTAAGCATAGATTATCCAAACTGGAAGACAAGTTTGCAACACGGGATCATGAAAGTAAAAATTTCTTTAAAATAACAAGGAAACAGGCAGTAACAATACAAAGGCTAGAAGACAACAAGAAGATCTATCACTTAAGAATAGGGAATGTGAATTGGGGTTGGGGATTTAGCTCAGCGTCATTAGCATCTGCCTTGCAAGCAGGCAGTCATGAGTTCGATCCCTAGTACTGATAAAAAAAA